TAAATTTATTGACAACGTCTATCATAAATATTCAACCAACAAATTTCAATCTAATGTACCTCTATGTTTCTTCTTTTTAATACCATTATACTATTATTCTTATAGTAAACATTTGAAACCAATCAAAGATACATTAAAATAAATGGTTAAAGCCTATTAGTATAATTTTTGTAACTTGTATAAGCAAATGTTTTCTTTGCAATTTACTAAGATAAATCTTGCGTACTTCTTTCGTTCTTTTTTGCCTGTATAGTGACTATGTAGTACTCTTAGTATTTCTTATCAATACTAATCCGTACTCTATTATTGAAGGGCGTCATTTTTCTTTTATAATATGTTTATCGAATATATATATATATGTATACGAGAAGTTATTTCTTCTGTCAACAGATATATTTAACACGTTCAAAGAAAAGGAAAAAGAAGTACATTTGACTAGTTTATTTTTAAGCACTAATGACAAATAATTAATCATATCTTTTTTTCTTTATATCATCTGTTTGTCTGTCAAATAGACGTTCTAAAAAAAATCGTAATGAAATATAAAGTAATGAACTTTTTAGATGTATCTCGGTTGGATTGATTATGGCATGTTGATTTTACTTTTGGGTTAGTTAATAAGTATTATTTTATTTTATTTTTCTTTATTTATGATTATTTCAGGTTTTTCGGTGGGTATTGGTATTTATCAAGGTTGTTTTCGATCAAAACAATTGACTACAAATGAATTTCTAATTGCTGATGGAAGAATGAAAGTAATTAGAGTCGTAACGTAAATTTTATACGGATATTATTTTTTATTTCAAGATTTTACCGACGGCAATGAGTTTATTGGCGAGTCTGATGTCTGCAGCAACTCTACTTGGAATTCCAATTGAAATTTATTCATATGGAACAATGTACATTTATTGGAGTAAGTTCTTTTTTTCAATGTAAAGTCTAAAACATCGATATTCTTATTTTATAGTTTTTGCTTATTTTATTGGTACTTATTTTACAGTAAATTTATTTATTCCAATGTTTCGTCAAATAGGAAATTTAAGTATCTATGCAGTATGTTAGTTGATATAATCATTTAAAAGAAAAATTTTCTATTATTTTAGTATCTCGAACAACGTTTTTCGTTAACAGTTCGTGTTGTTATAACACTTAGTTATATGATAGTGACGGTTAGTAGTAGCAGTAGTACAAAATAAATTTAGTAATGCCTAGAAGTCTACTTGTTTGTTAAGATTTTTTATATAGCTGTTATTTTATATGGACCAAGTCTAGCATTAAGTCAAGTAACTGGTTTACATATATGGTTAGCAGTTGGATCATGTGGAATTATTTGTACACTGTACACAAGTATTGTATGTAATCAAATATTAAACATATATAAATATTGAATCGATTGAATTACGAAGGGTGGAATGAAAGCAGTTATATGGACTGATGTTACACAAACGATAATGATGTTTCTTGGTGTTATTTTATCAGTTATTATTGGTATGATGAATATGTTTATGTGTCTAAACTTAGTATTTTTACTGATTTTTTTTTAGGATTTTATGATGCTGGTGGAATAAAAAATGTATTTAAAAATGCAATGGATGGTAATCGAATTCAATTCTCAACGTATGTAATTCAGAAAGAAACGAAATCATAGATTTCCATTACGATTAGAAATATACCGCTACCACGTCGCAACTCTAGAAAAGATAAAGCTACTGCATTGCTGACGTCGTTGCGGCAAGATCGCCGTGGAAATCTCTGAAAGAGATGTTGAATTTATTATGTTTTTGTTTTGAAATCATTAGAATTACATTAGATCCATCGATTCGATATACTGTTTGGAGTGTAATTATTGGTGGTGGTCTATATGCTACAGCTGTATATTCTTGTTTACAAACTCAAGCACAACGTTACTTATGTGTAAAAAGTACACGAGCTGCACAAAAGTATTAACCTTTCGATAAAAAAGAAAATCGATAAAATCCTTTTTTTCTGTTTAATCTTAGAGTTGCTTGGTTAAATTTTCTAATGTGTACAATGATGCTTTTTCTTTGTGCATCTGTTGGATGTCTTCTATATGCAAAATATAATCAATGTGATCCTCTTCAAGCTAAATTAATATCTAAACCTGATCAAGTAAAACTATAATAATATTTATCATTAATATTCTATTGAAACTTTCTCTTTTTATCTTTAGCTTTATCCATTATTTATTATTGAAACATTAGGCAGATTTCCGGGTTTAACAGGTTTATTTATTGCTTCGGTTTTAAGTGCTTCATTAAGTACAGTATCTAGTGGAATAAATAGTATAGCAACTGTTTTTCTGGAAGATATTTATAAAAGAATATCAACAGAAAATTTAATGTCTGATAAAAAACAAGCGATGATCTCAAAGATATTATGTAGATATGAAAATTTTCTTATGAAGATATTTGTTTTGTTTTTTTTTTCCAGCGGTGTTTATCGGTCTTCTTGTGGTATTTTTAGCATATATGACATCTTTTTTAGGAAATAATATTATAGTGGTAATTTATTTTATGTATTTCATTGATTTTTATCTTATATTTGAAATAGATAGTTTTTCAAATATCTGGTTCATTTGGAGCACCAATTTTAGGAGTTTTTCTAATAGGTTTTTTTGTACCACGAGTAAATAGTCGAGTATGATTATAATATATTTATTCTATAGAATTTATTGACTTTAATATAAAATATTTAGAGTATTCTTATTGCTTTTATATGTTGTTTATTATTTCAAACATGGGTACTTATTGGTGCTACATTAACAGTTAAACCGCAAGTAGGGAAAGGTGGACGATTACCAACGTCCGTTAAAGGATGTTTGCCATCATTTAACATTACTCAAGCAATTCCAAAAAGTCAAAGGTGATTTTCTTTCCTAGATCAGAGTAATTAAGTTTGATTGGTTGATTATATATAGTTCAAATTTTCTATTACCACTTTATTCGATATCTGTTATGTGGTATTCTTTTAATGCTGTTGTGATTATCGTTGTTATTAGTTTATTAGAATCATTTATCTTTGGTAAATCTTCTTTTTTTTTCTCATAAACCAATATTAATGATTCTTACGTTGTATAGGTTCAAATGATCCAAAAATGATAGATAAATCATTATTAATATCATGGAAAAACATATTTTCGTGTTATTGGAAACATAAAGTATTTCTTATCGGTTTTTTCCATTGATCATTGATTTTTTTTTTTCTATAAACTTTTTAGAAATCCGTGAGCTTACAACTTAATGAAATAAATACAATTGAAACACAAACAATTGAACAAGAATCAATTCTCTAGAAGTTTTCTCTTTCTACGAAACTAAAACGTTTGTGTATAAACATGTTATACGATTAAATAAAAAAGAAAATCTTCAAAGTATAAAAATTATGAAAATATCTATATATAATATCGATATTCCTTGTTGCGATGTACTGGATAGACTGTAAATAACACTATGATAGAAAATTAAAAGTTCTCAGCTTTAGTTCGCTTAAATTAGCTGATTTTTCGCTTAGTGGTAGAAACTTATTCAAAGTCTTTTTTTTAATATGGATGATGTAAGCAAATCCTACTGTAACATTATATTTTTGGCCTTACTAAAGAAATTTCATCTAATGTTAAGTAAGAAAATACATATAAGGTGGACTATTTTCAGTTGTTATCTAAGATAATAAGAAGCCAAAATGAACTCTATATTGATGCATACAAAGCAAGTTTTCAAAACTATTAAGTTCCAAGTTAAAGTACATGAATTTCAATATTTGAACTGATCAGTTTTGAAAACTCACTCGAAGTGTATCAATGTAGTCTCATTTATTAAATTCATTTTAATTTCTTCCTATGATTATCTTAGATGACAACTGAAAATTATATAAGAAACGCCTCATAGATATTTTTCTTACTTGACCATAGGTGAAAAATTGACAGTAGTATTTGTTTACATTATCCATATGGAAAAAAAGAAAACTTAAAATAAGCTTCTATCACTAACTAAAAAAGCTACTAGTGCGATTCCTGTGAGATTAAAACGTAAAACGCGATGTAGTTGATGTGTTACTAATCAAAGAGGATTACTTTATTCTATATATTTCGGAACATATTTCCTCATTACCGCTTTACTTTATCTTTCAGAAATAGAATCAGGAAAGAGTTCATATATCAGAACGAGATGCTATTGATATACGATCTTTGATCATATACTAACAACGTCTGTTACGTTGCGTGACAGAGATGGAAGACATTACTAAGGCATCTTTCAAGGCTCGTGACTGTCTCTGATTAGCATCTATCGCGGCTTTTAGATTATGTTTCAAAAAGGCAACTTATTTGAGCGAATCCAAGCGAAAAATTTCGATTTTTTTTTTTTTTTATCTTAATTCTATTTATGGCTCGTTCTGTACAATCAATAAAAAATAGAATTTAAAAAAATTCTTTGAATTATGTCTATAATAGCCTGTTGATTAAATCGCATATGCAAAATGGCAATTATTTAAAAGAAAAGTCTAACGACTCAAAGTATACCTTAAATTTTTACTTTAATTTTCTATTTGTTAGTACAAAAAATTGGGAAATGTTTATTGAAAGAAACACTATTGAATGTATAAAATACGATATCGACCAAAAGTTTTGGCTAAGTCATTCGAAAAACAAAATATATCAAAATAGTAATACAGGCAATCTTTGAATGATTGAGCTAATTAAATGAACGAATGAGATGCTTTTTAATGGTCAAATAACAAAAAACAATTAAACCATTTTTGATTCAAACCTGAATATATTGCTCGACTAAGAATGATCTTCTCACAAATATATCTTCGATTGACTCTTGTTTCAGTGTAGATTAATCGTAAATATCAATATCTTTCACAAAACAATCCATTTAGAAAACGTTTCTGTTAGTATTTCCAAAGATTTACATGCATCAAAGAGAGCATAAATTAATTTATGCATATATGTTTCGTACAAATTAAAAAAGAAAAATTTATTAAGCACATGTATTTAATAATTCATGTCCTTTCCATCTTTGTAAAGTTTTTGTTTGTGAAGAAAAAATGTCTTCTGAAAAAGTCATTGTTAAACGATGATTAGATTTTTTAATGTCTACATGAATATCCATTGAACTATTATAATGTTTTATTGTATTCAATGTTTGTCTTGATTTTTGATTGAAATCATCATTTTCATTGAAAATAAGTGAATCATAACTAACATTAAATAACGAAAGATTTGATTGAGCTTTTTCCATCAATAATAAAAAACCATCATTATCATAAATGAGATTTTCTTCATTATTATTATTAGTATTATCATGAATATTTGTCATCGATGCAAATAAAGAACATTGACTAGGATAATTCTACACAAGAAAAAAATTTATTATTCATATTAGCAACCAATGTTTACGTCAGAATTGAAGGTCGATTGAAATAAGCTTAATAACTCAATGACGGCATCAGTTAGTAACCGATGATTTTTAAAAAAGAAAAATTCCGGAAGTTTTTTTTGTCTCATATTATATGAGACAAAATTATTTTAATAGTTATCATAGTCACAAAACATTCGATAGTGTTTCGTTTCAAGGAAATTTTGATAAAAAGCTGCGAAATTTGCTACAAATCGAAAGAATTCTATATAGTTCCACCGAATATATACGCGATATCATTGACTCACAAGAAAACTATCCCAACTGATACCGTTTGTTTGATCTCATATCGGACTTACAGACAGTTTTTAGTGAGACTAGCCCGAGCCTAGAAGAGTGTGTCCTTATGAGGCTTTATCGTCAAGTTATGATCAGTTTACTCGGTCTTCAATTGATTTGTAGCTAATTCGGAAAAATTTAAATGGCAAAATATCGGTCTAAAGTTATCCGTGTAGAAAGATTTAATGGCTCTTACAATATTCTGAAATTTTTAGGAGATTCTAAGAGTCATTAGGTCTATCTATACGCAAAACTTTGGATCAAACTGTATTGTTCAGTCTTTCGGAGAGTCCCTAAAAATAATTTGATGACAAAGATCAATGAGATGGATCCTTTTTAGCTTTTACTATTCTCATTGAGACCTGCCTGTAAATCCAATAAGAGCTCTAACAGTAGAATCCAGTTGGAGTTGTTTCCTTGTCAGCATTCAGATAAGAGAAGATAATCATATGAAATTGAGCCTTGATCTATAGATCTAAAGCACATGGGAAACTTAAAATTACATCGAAACAGAACACCATTTTCATACAGTGTGTAAAATACTTTGTGAAAATGATTTATTTTATAATGATTGTTATCATTGTCGAGTTATTCAAGTTACACCAACCTGTTTAATTTTAGCATGAATGTTAAATAAAAATAAATACCTGTGAAAAATGATTTTCTTTATGATATAATTCTATTAGAGAAAAAAAAAACAAAATTTAATCAAGAATTCTGCTTTTTTTTTATTAATAAATCTTACTTTTTTTTAAAAAATCTGGTAAATATTGTAAAAACGAGTGAACAAAACGTGATGTATCCATCATAAAAAATAGAAATGTTGTTTTTGCTATCAATCGATCATTCTCTCTTTCAGATTTTTTTTCTTTCTCACTCTTTTCTGTTTTGCCAAGTTCAACCAATCAATAATTTAATACTGAAAAATGATCTATTGTTATATGTTGGTCATGGCATATTCTCACAGCAGGATAGCATCTATCATCAACTTTGAATTTTCTCATTTCCGCCTTATCACAATATAATGAATCAACATATGAAAGAAAGTTCATCTATTACATCTGTTCAAAAATTAGATATGTGAATGAAATCACAAATCAAAAAAAAGAAAAATGTTCACAATGTATTATGATTCTAAGAAATTATTTGTTGAGAAGATGTTAATGGTTCTGATTGATCAATGATTGTCTTTGTTTGATCATTTTCATTTATGTTATCTAGATATGGACGTAGAATAATAAGTTGATAAATCCATTGTTTTAATGGACTACAAGTTGTTAAACAAATCATAAATGGTAATAAAATACAACGTATATTGTATACAAATAACATTATTTGCAAAGAGTTAACTTGAGTATCTGTATTATTGTCAACACTAGTAATAATAAAATGTAAACATAGTAAAACAACTTCAAATAAAATAACACATGTTGAAAGTGATAAATAAAATTTTGTATTAACACTTAAACGAGATGATGGACGTTGTCGTAAAAAAGGTAAACAATATTGATATATAATAATAGATAAAAAACTAATACTAATTATTGTTAATATTCCATATTCAAACCAATATTGTATTGTATAAAATGATAAAATTTTTGCATAGGTTTCAACATTTAATGAACGATAACAATATTGAAAATTAATTTGATCTGTTTGATTATTATTATCGATATTATTTTCTCGTGAAATAATATTACTTTTTGATATAGATGGATTCTTTTTAATAAGCTTTAAAATTTCATATAATCTTATCGAAAAAATTAAACTTACACCAATAAAAATTAATAATGAATAAAACCTTTTAAAATATGATCGATAATTATTCTTTGATAAAATAGAATTTAATAAATTTTTTGTTAATATTCTTTCAATACTAAATAATAATGTTAAATAAAGTTCTATTGGTTTAGCTAATGTTGATAAATAAACAAAAAAACGACATGTATGAAATGATAAATTTGGTTCACCTGAACCACTTAACATATGTGCTTGAATATAAAGACAAAACATATTGGTTAAACAAACAAGACAAATAATAAGAAAATTAGATGTACGAGTTGTATGAAATGATGATGGTGCAAAGAGAAATAATATTGGAAGTATTAAAGAGAATATTATTCCTATTGACCATGTACAAAAATAATTATAAAAAAAAATTATTGAATCAAATCGATCGATTGAAGTATAAGCAGTATAATAAGACTTCTATATGACAACAAAAACATAGAATAGAAAAGTATTTTCAAATTTTTCATCTGAACTTACTGCTGCTGTTCGATTCATGATGATTTCTATAACTGTAACTAATGATGAATGTATGTGCTTTGTTCTTTTTTTTTGTTATATTTCGTTTGAAAATAAATGAAAATAAATAGATAAGAACATTGTGATTATTTTAATTGGAAAGAAACTTGAGATAGTTGTATGTATGAGTCATGTACAATGATATTGAAACTTGATTATTTTTATACGAGTAATGTGAGAACTACAATAGATGAATTTGCATGACATGTAAACCAGTACGATTTGTCGTTTTTTAACGTGTTCTTTTTTTAAAGCCTTTATCTTGTAATTGTGAATCTTACTAAAATGTATTTTTATATCACAAGAAAAACAACCTTTCATTGAAGATCAGTATCGATTATCTGATGACCAAGAAATATAGATAGAAGATAATAACAAAGGATTTTTCTGTCTAGTATGAATCGTAAAGTATTGATCATGTTACATCCTTTTGTTTTAATTAATTTATAGAGGAACTTTTTTAAGTGTCCAATTGCTTTTCAGTCGAGATTATGTGCATCATCTAGGTTCTAGTGAGTTATGAATATCCGGAGAAAAGTTCGTGCTGATAGGTTATTACCACTAAGATATTATATATTTACTGTATTTTTTAGAAGGATACCGTGGTACCCTTCAGGAATCCCGAGAAGCTAAGTTTCGAATTTTGACTTGAAACTTTGCATAGAGACGAGCTTTAATGAAAAGCAGTTTTATTGTAAATGTTTTAGATCTTTTAATTGTCTTATATTGTAAGATACGACTATGATAAAAGCATGTTTTTTTATTTTTGTCATATACAACGGTAAATTTCGATATTCTTATTTTAGAATAGGTTCTCTAGAAAAATCTGAAATCTTCACAATAAGCAAATCTAATTAAAGCCTACCTCTGTACAAAGTTTCAAGTCGAAGTTTGAAATCGAGTGTTTCTGAGGAAGACCATGTCATTTTGTAAAAAAAATACAGCATCTCAACAGTAATAAGCTATTAACTCGAAGTCTTTTCAGGATATTCATAGCTCACTAGAACCTACATAATGCACATAGTCTTGTCTCAAACACGATTTGACACACTAAACATGAATGTTTTAACCACACTATTCTGGTAATCTTTCGGGATTTGAAACACTCACACGACTTTGTTCGTTACTAAGCCCGCTTGTTTTCACGCTTGACTTTTTTCTTTTGGAATTTTTTCATTATACCATTCACCATAGCGATTAGAATTTTTTAATTGTGAATACGTGAAATTATCATAAAACACATTTCGTCTACAACTTGCTAATATTTTTATTACATCGAACGGTTGAAACTGCGAAATATGAATCAATATATTGGGTTGTAACATAAGCTCTGCAGGTTTTTTTTTGTTCAGCTACAAATTTATTTTACAAAAAAGATATGTAAAATCAATCAACAATGTAATCATCATTATTGGATTGGAATATAAGTTCTAAGTTTGAAGTACTGTTGCGATAAATCGCTATATATTTTTTTCTCACATTGCGTGATGACTTGAATAATATGTGTCACGTATTGCATTATGTATGAAAAATGGAAAGATCAATCAAGGTCAATATCAAATTTATTGACTTGAGAGAGCAGAAATAAAGAAGAGTAGTTAGATGAAAGAAATGAACGACTAACTGACAACAAAAGAACGAACAATACATATATGTAGAGTGACATAATGGAATATTTCACAAAACGAAAAGGAAAAAAAAACCAGGAAAAATAATAAAAGTGAATGTCACTACATCACTATATGCCTTTTGAAATGGGACAATGTCTCGATTATTTTATGGCTACTATTTAACTGCTAAGTAAATTAAAATAAAAGCTAAGTAAAAAAATGAATATTTTCTAAGTAATTTCAAAAATAGAATTCTACGTAAAAAAATCATTTTTGCAAAGTTTTTTATTTAAATTCTAAGTAAACATATGATAATTTCTAAGTAAAATATTGACCATGTCTAAGTAAATATATAATTTTTCTCTAGGTGAAGAAACATAAATATCTAAGTAAAAAAATATAATTGTTCAGTTATTATGTTAGTAAAGCTTTTGTAGCTTTTCGAGGTCGTCCTCGTTTTCTTTTTTGTCCTAAAGCTATGTCTTTGGCCGATGGTGATGGTTTACAAAACTTCAATATAATAGCCATTCCAATGACATGTTTGCAAATAAATTATTTGAAGAAGTTTGGACAGTTACAAGTGCCACTTTTCCATTCCGTTCCATCATTAGATAAAGTCACTTTCCATATACCGAATTGAAGAATCTTGAATTGATCAAAGGAGTTCCAGGTTTTTTTCTTGTATTTTTGAATATCATGTTGTGTAATATGTTCCGCTTCACCAGCTGGTATATAATAATCAATAGCACCTTTTCGGCTCGATGGTATTTGTAATACCAAGTTCGACGATTTAGCAAAATGATAAGCATCAGTCCATTTTTTTAATGTAATTGTTGGCTCTGATGAATAAATAATTGGATCTATTTGGTTTGGATCCCGAGATTTAGACCATCTACGTACGATGTCATTGGCTATTACAAAAAATCTTGATAATGGATGTCGTTCTCTAAACGTGTGTTCATCTTTGATTACTCTGTTGGTTGCCTCTAATGAATTGTTAGCACTAGGTGTGAAGTAATTGTATCCTTCATACCAAGAAGAAAAAGTTTGTAATTATTCGTTTTCGAAGTATTGTAAAAAGTCATGTTCTCTTTGGCACAATTTCTTAACAAACAATGATGATGCTTTGTTAAAGACTTTTTCTGATTCACACAATTGTAATTTGTCGATGTCATCTAATATCTCTTGTCTGAAACTAACATTACTTAACTTTTTATCAACATGTCGTCGCATGTGCGCCCACCACATCAGAATTTTATCATTGTTAAATGTTGTCTCAAATGCATTCCGTATGGCATCAGAACCATCAGCTATTAAAACTTCAGGCATGAATTTCGATTGAACTATTTGGTCAACACCGTTGGAAATGCTTTTGAAAATAAATTCGAAATATTGTTGTTGTTCATTACTACAAACTGCCAATCCAAATGGATGCAAATTTCTATCAGAATCAGTTGCTTCTATTATCAATACAGGAAATCCTTGCCAATTGAGTTTGTATGTGGCGTCTGCATGTATTCGTGTTGAAATAGAAGCGATTTCTAATAATCTTTTCGATATTATAAAAAATCTAAATTTATTTTCACCATCCATTGCGTTCTCGTTATCATCAATATCATCTTCATATTGCACATGGTAAGAAAGAACAAATGTTTCATCTTCAGATTGTGGTACTGTAGAGTTTTCAGCACATAAATTTTCGAAGTTTTCTAAGCTTATAGTTGAAGCATCATATTTCTTTTTACGCAGTTGCATCAAATAATTTTTCAATTGATTAGATGTAATCATAAATTTTTTTTCTTGTAAAACTTCATATATTTTCTTCGGCTTCAGTTTTAAATCAAATAATTCATCAATATGCTGTTTAAGTTCTTCAGAAAAACATTTGCGCT